AAAATAAACAGCTTCTAGCTTTGGCTTTGAATGCATGTGATTCAAACTTCTGTCTAGGGAAGGAAACTTTTCTGAGCCAAAGTCTTTGATTCTAGCATGAAGCTTACTTCATAATGATGTTATCATATTTAATGGGATAGATCACTTTAAATGACAATTTTGTCATCATTTACATCATGTCATTCCAAACCAGTTTGACTTTATCTTCTGTCAAACACAAATGAAGCTATTTAGTAAAATGTCCAAGCTGCTCATTTCCATACAGTGAAGATCAAGCAAGATTTGAAGTGAATGGCTTTAATTTTTACTATGTTCCTCATGTAAATCTATTGTATAGCTTTAGGAGACTTGGAGAATTTTTATTATTATTATTATTTTCACAGCTTGATGGCCACCCATTCACTTACTGTACATTGTATGGAATGTTCAGTTTGAAGTTTCTGCCTTATGTATTTCCATGGGGGGTCACATTAAATGATAAATCATTTTATGTTTAAGTGAACTAATTATAGACTAATAATGAAGACAGCTTGCTTGCATTGTCAAATAATTATTTTCAGTTATGTTTTTTTTTTATAATTTCCAGAAAATATGTTCACAAATGATTTAATATTTTGTTTTGTTGTATCCTCTGTCCTTCTGCTGCATCACATATGCAAGCATAAATAATCGTGCTTGTAAAAATAGCAAATCATAAACCAAAGCCTCATAACAGAAGTTCTAATTAAATATATAAACAACTTTCTGCAACTGTGTAAATCAGTTTGAAAATGAACGCGAATCTGAAAGTGACTTTATGTGAGTATAATTCATTTTTGTTTTGTTTTCCATGCATGGTCACCCCTCCTTTATGATATAAGGACAAGGGCAACGAGGCAGTAAAATCGTTAATGTGTGCGCTGTCCCTCTTCAGCTCCTGATTAATGCTGTTTTTCAGTTTTATAGGATTCTTCTTTTGGTTCTTAAACATCAAGATCAGTGGTGAGGATTTACAGCTCATTATCAAATACTGATCATCATCTGTGTTGGTGCTAAAAAAGTGTTAATGTGGTTCAAAGAACACTGAATGTGCAGTTGTGTAGTCTTAAGATTAGTCTTTAATTAGGCTTCACTTTAACAGTAGTTATGTCACAAAAGTACTAATTATTCATATGATGCACACATAAAACAAGATACTTTAAAGTCATCTTGGGAATGTTGATTCTGTGTAATTTTTAAAAAGTGATTCGATATCCAGCATTTAAAAGCAAAACCTGTTTTACCTAATGTGACCTATTCCAGGATGAGTCAATGAGAAAAAAAATTTAAGATTAGACAGTCCGCAAAATGTGCATTCTGTATCAGAATGTATGCAGACAGAGCTTAAATGGCTGTTGGTTAACATTAACCAATAGCCCATGTAAATGCAAAAACAGAAAGTCATTTAAGTAGCAGAGCAAGTCATTACATTTTATGAAAGATTATGGAGACATATTTTGTGTTTGGAATAATGTGCAATGATGAATCAAGGATAATAAAAACTTGTGTTAAGGAGTTAATCGGGTCAATTCTGAATAAATGGAACATGGCTGAGTTTGGACTTTAATAATAGCTTACTATGGAAAGAGCGAGAGCAACAGGAAGGAAAATTAAGACATTAAGAAAATTAAGAGAGAAAGTATAGGACAGTTTACTCCCCAGGCGAAAGACTATGTGGGAGGAGACTTCTCTAATCTTAGTGAGAACTTAAAAAACATGTGAATGTAAAGGAAAAGACAGGCAAAACAACCAGCTGTTAAAATGTCACCACAGCATCAGTACATCTTTCCTCAGAGGAGCGATTCTATCACAGACCTCGTCCTCTATCTGTGCAACGCATTGCTGCTAATGACAGAGTGAGAGTCAGTCCCATCAGGGAGAGCAGGGAACGCTTCTAATAAGGAGGAAAAGTACTGTTTAAACAGAGAAGTTTGTAGGTGGAAGATGTCTCCCCTTCCACTGACAGAATGAGAAAGCGGGAGAGAGATGGAACAGATAGGGAGTGGGAGGCTAGGAGATGGCAGGGCACAGCCGCATTGATTGGCTCCAGCTCGCCCGTGGGCTCTGTCGATTGTGCCCCCTCTTAAAAGGTTGCAGTGTTATTAAAAGGTTTCCTTTATCTGTCCGTCACCCTTCTGCTCTAATGATGGTGAGCAGGGGAGGAGGAGCAGAGAGAGATGGGGCCTGTCAGAGTCACTTCCTTTCTGTCTCTTTGCTCCTTTGTTTAGTGCTAACATTCTAAACTAGCCTAGTTGTTGGTATAGAGGTTTAGCTGGTCATCCAGGTGGCAAAATACCCAAACCCATTTAAAACCATGTAAACAAACCTACCTACCCACCTAACTAGTTTGGCCAGGCTGGGAGACCAGCTAGACCATCTTAAGAGCATTAAGAGCAGATTCCCAGCTTATAAGGTTAGACTGTTTTGCTTTTTTTGGAGATGGCTGACCAGCTGGAAAGTTCCCAAAACCAATCCAAACCAAAATTTTAAAGCCAGTTAAATATATCAACTTGACTAGCTTGGCCAGGCTGAGAGATCAGTTAGACCATCTAAAGACCAGATTCCCAGCCTATCAAACCAATCTAACCCGCTTGGCCAGGCAGGGAAGCTGATTTTTACATGATCTAGCTGGCTGACCAGCAGGCAAATGGCCAAACTCCCCTAAAAGTGGTGAAACAGACCGTCCTAGCCAGGTAGGTCAGGCTGGGAGACCAGTTAGACCATCTGAAAACCAGATTCCCAGCTTATAAAGATGGTCTGTTTTGCTATTTTGCTGGTGTCCCAGTCTGACCAGCTGATAAGAGCCCAAACCCCTCTAAAACCAGCAAAATAGACCACCCTTGGCCAAGCAGGGAAGCTGATGTTCAAATGATCTAGAATGATTTCCAAGACACCAGTGGCTGACCAGCAAACAACTTTGTCCAGGCTAAGAGACCAAAATCTCTTTAGGCTGGTTTAAACTTTTTTCACAAGGTTCATCCATGGAAGAATAATTTGAAGTATTAACAACGTTTTCTCTCTGTCTGCATGTTTCTCCTCACCCCTTCACCTTATACTTCCAAACAAACTCTAAACAAACACCAACCTCCTGACTAGTTATGAGTATGCTCTGAAATGTTTATAAAATTAAATGATGTGCCAAATGAATATGCTCACCAGGGGAAAAAACATCCCGAGGTAAATACTCATAATCAGAAACAGGTGTCTCGCAGTAAGCAGGTGTTTGTGTTCGTTAGAGAGAGTTCGAGCAGTACAGAGACTTTAATCCTGTGTTCTGATGGAGGGTGCCAGACTTGTTCTAGTATCCAGCTGTGCTCGTTGACCCTTGGCCACTCAAGTCGTGTCTGATCAACACAGAGCACTTGCAAGCTAGAAACGGTTTGGGAGGTCACCTTTTGCGAACAGAAATTTCATCTTTCGTTTCGACTCTTTCGAAGTCTGAGCTCGTTCTCAAATAAGTCATTGGAGGACAACATAGAACACTGATCCAGTCAATGACCTGAACATTGCTCCACTGAGTCCAAACATAGCCATCGACCCGCTCCCACAAAGCGTGCCAAATCAACGACTCAGAACAACAGTCAGTATTGGCAAAGTCAATGAGATTCACCAGCTCCGACCGTTAATGTGGTCAATGAGCCAGTCTTTCACTAAGTACAGATTCAGCTTCAAGATGGCTGTTCCAAAACACGGGACATGGGAAAGACAGTGGACAGGGGACGGGCATCCGAATGCAGAATGGCAATCTGGGATTTCACACATGAAGGATCCCACACCTGGTCTGTAGAGAACTCTCAGGCCATTGAGCTCGCTACATTGAGTTTTGTCCCCAATTGACTCTCAGATGCTGCTCTGACCTCAACTTGACATGGTAGAAAAAATCTAGCCGCCCATGGGGTCTGCTTGTCATTTCCCATTCAAAGACTCATGTATCCTACCCCAACTAATTCAGTTTGCATCCTTTCATGTAAGTGCAGGGGTCAATGTGTAAACTTCGATTTGGGTTCATTTTCAGTTTGGAGCTGCTCACAATGCATTCTAATTCTGCTGATCCAGATATTGGATGCAAATTTTGTTTTGTCCATCCAAATATTGATGATGTTATAGAAAATTGGGTAACACTTTAGAATAATGGTCCGTTGTTAACAAGTAACTATGCAGGAAGTAATAGGTTGTACTACATTAACACTGAGTTTAATACGATTAACTACTATGAAGGCAAGATCATTAAGGATGCAAATTGTTTTTGACCAGAGAACATCATTGTTTATATACATATCCTAAAGAGAAGTCCTCTCCAGGCTATTGCCAATAAAAACAGGTGTTTTAGAGTCGGAGACTTATTGAACTAACACTGAATAGAGCTCATAATAGTGAACAAATCCAATTATGAGCTTGTTAGCATCACTTCCTAAAAATGTAAATGAATTTTTATCATTATTATTATTCTATGTTTAAGTTTAAAATAAACAAAGAACATACGTTCATCCTTTGATAAGAGTTGTAGTCACAATCTCAACCTGTAGCCAACTTATTTGGGGGGATATAATTTTCAAAATTAGTTTCCGCAAAGAACCCATTTGAGGTGCAAGCTTCTGAAAAAGACATTTTATGACCATGTTAAGAATAAAAAGCAAACAAAAAATCTTTTTAGACATGTTAGTGTTATGATTAGTAATTAATTGGTTATTCTTTATTAATTGGTCATAGTTAACAAGTTGTTTTCAATAACTATATTTTTATTTAGTAATTAATGAATACCTAATAAGGAACTTCCTTTGTTCTAAATTTGCTATTACTTACTGCTTAGTTAATCTTGCTTCCATATTAGTTAATAGTATTAAGTTCAGTGTTAATGTAGTATGTATTACAGTACTTCCTGTATAGTTACTTGTTAAAAACAGACCATTTTTCTAAAGTGATACCAAAAATGGTAAGAGCACTTGCTCATGAACTTTTTGTTGCTTAATCGTTTATCAAAGGTCCTGAAGGAAGTTCGGGATGAGGACTGGGATTTGGAGAACATTGTTCACACCCTGACCAACAGAAGGAGAGGGGAAGCATCTATTACCTATGCTGAGAGCCATGACCAAGTTAGCAATTTGTCAATTTGAAACTCAACTTTTGCTGGTTACCATTCACAAACACTTTGGTGTTTTATTCTCGTTATATATGATTACACACTCAAATCTCTACACTTGTTTCTAGGCCTTGGTTGGGGACAAATCATTGGCATTCTGGCTGATGGACAAAGAGATGTACACCAACATGAGCGCTCTTATTGCCATGACGCCTGTTATAGACCGCGGCATCCAGCTGCATAAACTCATCCGTCTCCTCACTCACAGTCTAGGAGGGGAGGGCTACCTTAACTTCATGGGTGAGTCTCCTTGGAAACCAGTTTTGCTGGATACTTGGTGCTTTTCTTTAGTGTGCCTCCACCAAGGAAGAGGGATTGTTGGCATTCTTGGCAGGCGTAAACTAGTTTTGAAGTTGTAAGGCATATTGAATCTAAGGCTGATCATGTGCTACTGGATCTTCCCCTTGAGGATTTTTTGAATGGGTTTCAAATGGTTAGTAGTTCCCAATATTGGTGTGGTTGCTATTGGCATTGCAGTTTAAAAAATAGATGTCTATAATACCGTAAAATAAGACACTATCTCAGACAAGTGGCCAGAAAGAAAGCGAAGTAAGTGTGTACACACATCACAACACAGGAAAGAAACTACACTCAGTCGTGCTGGGCCTGAAGCGTTAAAAGATTGCTGTCTGGATGAGTAAAGATGTCTTTCATTACAAGCGCACTTCTCTTCTATCAAACGCATAAAAGCATTTCACTTTGTCTGCTCATCCATGTCTGTGCGACAGTACTGAAAACAGTAATATGTCCAAAGGTCACCATCTTTGTATCTCTCCATCTGCAAGTAGTAAGTAAAGGCACTCTGGTATAATTGCACACAAAGGCGAGTGGCAGAGCACATTCAGAGAGGAAAAAAAGGAATGTATGCCTGAGACTCGAAACAGTCAAGGCCAGACGGCAAACAGCAGTGCCATCAGATCGATGGCAAGGCAGTCGTTTAGCCTGTGTTGAGCGAGAACAAATTGTTCGAGCAAAATAATCAATCTGGCATGTCAAGTCTAAAGCTCCTCATCCTAGAAAAAATCCTCTTAACTCAAAGCGAGAGAAAGGCCAGCAATGGAAAAAAAAACATTTGGTAAATATGGAAAAGGACATACCTGCATTTCAAAAGGTAATTGTGTAAACGTCAAAACTTTGCTCCTTCTTGGAAGGCAGAGAATTTTGTGTGAAATTCACTGTGTTATGTATATATTTATTTTAATTTTATGGGTCAACTTCATATATATTTCTTTATATTATTTATAGAAGCCTTTTTTATTATTTATGGAAGTCTGGGTTTTTCATAATTGTGACTTTATATCTATATTTATATTATTTTAAACATTACCTCACAGTTATTTTTTTAGGCAGAAACAGGGTTCTTGAAGTATGTATTTATTTATTTATTTATTTATTTATTTATGGTCTTATCTTCCTGTTAAAAATAAAATAAAATAAAGCAAAGTTGTGTTTGTTATTTTATTTATTTATTTATTTATTTATTTTGTCTTGTTTTCCAGTAAAATAACATAAAATAAAAAAATAAGCATGGTTGTGTAAGATAGTAAGCTAAACAAAAATGTTTTAGAGTATACGGAAGCCTGGGGCTAGTTCATATACACTTTACTGAATATTTCTCAGGGTGAAATTGTTTATTTAACTAAATTTCTATATTGGAGCAAGCCTGGAAGTCTTACAAAAAAGTTATTGAACATTTCCACCCATATTGTACAGGAAAAAGAAACAAACACAGGTCATCTTTTTGTGTGCATGTTGTCACACTATTTGGGGTAAGTTGTCACAATGAAAACAGCCAAACGGTCTAATATAGGCTTTTCAGAAAAAAACATAAATACAAATAGGCTATTTGTAGACTTAAAACATAATGTGACAACAGCCCCAAATACAATGTGACTCCCAAACTAATTTCTAGTGATTAGATGTAGAGCAGAAAATGGTCAATTATACTTTTTAAGTAACTGAATTATGAACTAATGTAAACTGTGTAAAGAAGAACTTGGTGGAACAGAGCAGGTTCATCCTGGCTGTTCAGGTGAAAGACTAGACTGCACTCAAATCCATGCTCAGTTTTGCTCAAATCCATCCACACAAACACATCGATCTCTCTCCCCGCTAACACTGTTAATTAGCATGCTGTGGCTACATCATCTCCTACACCAGCTGACACGCTAGCACAGCTCTGTAAATATTCCAGCTCGTTTCAGAGGTCGCTGTTTGAACTGTGAGAGCTGCTTCAGGCTTGGCAGATTAACATCCGCTGCTTCATGAGATGGTTGTGGTGCACGTCCATTCCTCTTGGCCCTCTTTCTCTCCAGATCATTGTGCTATTGGACATTGATGTTAGCAGTGTTCCTCCTCTGATTAGTAGTTCTCTCTCATTGACTTTGGCTCCTCTCCGAGGGAACTAGAGAACTGATCAAAAATTGCTACGCCTGTCTGCCTCTGTTGTTTGTTATTACAACCATCATTGCAGGTCTCTGTTATTTAGGCTATGCATGTACATAGAGGGGCTAAATTGGGATTTTGAAGATGGGAGAACATTCAAATCTGATGTGGATCCTTGTGCTCTGATGCCTGATAGATAGATAGATAGATAGATAGATAGATGTAGGTTACAGATTAAAAGTTACCTTATTTTAAATGTAATAAGTAGTGTAACTATTTCAATTACTTTATTAAAGTAATGTAATGGATTACATTTGATTCCTGACACTAATTACTGTCAGAGACTTTACAAATTCTTCATCTCTTGAATTAAGACTATAATCATTTAATTTTAAAGCAAAGCCACCACAAAATCAGATTTTAGCACCTCTTTTTACTTTGAGATTGTTCTGAGTTTAAATACAGATTTAAAATCATAATAAGAAATAGTAAATATTAGTGCTGTCAAACGATTAATCGCGATTAATAACATCCAATTTAAAAGTTTTGGTTTGCATAATATATGTGTGTGTTCTGTGTATTTATTATGTATATGTATATGTAAATACACACACATACAGTATATATTTTGAAAATATTTACATGTATTTACATGTCTGTATTTATATTCATATAATTTATTATTAAATAAATATATTTAATATATATATAAATAACATATTTTTCTGAAATATATACCATATATATATATATATATATATATATATGCATGTGTGTATATTTATATAACATCTAATCTAACATGTAATATTTATCATTAAATATAACCATCAGATATAAAGTATGTTTTTAGACGAGAGTACAAAAACACTACAGGAATCTTAAACGACTCTTTCTTTTTCCCAACATGCCAGCAGAGCAAATATTCCACCAATTTAAACCCGCTATCTGCGCACATCCAAGGATTCGGGGTTAACGTGGGAGAAATAAGAAGAAAAAGAATGAAAGTTTCAAGTAAAAAGGAGGTTAAATAAATACAAGAACAAATCAGCCTGTCACTGGAGTATGTGGAAGTGGAAGCAGGAAAACACCAGTCCTGATTAATAGAAATTTCAGCAGGAGATCAGAGAAGAGGCAATGTGCCTGAAGAGGCTTTAATTGAATTTGAAAGGGGTGCCATTTTCTTCGTGCAGTGAAAGAGTTTAGTTTGTGGGCGGGAAGTGTTGGCCTGTATTTATTTACTCTCTGTTTTAAGTACCTCTTCAGTCCTTTTCAGTGGAAGAGGGAAGGCTGAGAACTCTGAAACAAGGAGCAAAACATGCCATTCCCCTCTTCTATTTGTTTCTGTTCTGTTCTTGGATATCTCTTGTTAGTCTGACTGCTCTAGCAGTTGTCCATTTGTTTTACGAACATTATGTTCTGTTCCTGCTGGTTTATTAGGAAGTACTTTTTTTACTTTTGTACTTTTGTTTGCATGCCTGTCACTTGAGAAGTATAAAAGTTATCTTAATATCCTTTTACATACTGGTTCTTAACAAAATTTTATTTTGTTACCTTCATTTTATGGCCCTATTTGTTTTAGTTCCAGAGATGCTCTTAATTTGAATCTGTGAGTTATTTGTTAAACTGTTCACATTTTCAGTGGTCAAAAACTAAATGTGGGTCATTTTGCATATAGCTCATACCTCTTTATTTTAAAGAGAAAAATGAAATTAGAAAGGTATCTTTCCCTCTATCAAAACATTTGCATAGGACATACCTGTCTGAGTGGCAAAATAATTTTCTTCCAAGGTTTGCTCAGGAAGTATTAAAGATATCACAGTATCCTTTTAGATTCTGGTTCTTAACAAAGTTTTCTTATGGAGTTTTCATTTATAAGGCCATATGCTTCAGTCCCAGAAATATGGGGATTTCCCAGATTGTTCCCAAATTTGACCAATATGTTGATAACCAAATGTGGGTCACTTTGCATAAAAATGATATTGTTTCTACAGAGAAATATCAGACCTCTGATTGAGTTGACTTGGAATGACCCAGCTGCATTACTCATGAACTTGAAGATGATCCTGAACTGGACATTAGCTGTTGACCAGAAAGTGTCCAAGCAGTGTGAAATATTTAGCTTGAGAAGTGTGCAGTTTGCAATTGTTCCTTACATAAATGCCACTTGTGTTTTATTTTATCTACTGCAATGACATTTGTGCTTTTTAAGGGTTGCTTAAGTAGCAAAATACGTTTTGGGGCTGGTGTATGTCTGTGTTATTAGATTCGTGGTGAAGTAAAGGCATATGTTTGCTCCTACTGGAATAGAAAGGGAGTTATTCCTCCTATTAAACAAACTCCTACTCCCCCTAATTAAGACAGGAAGAGGCAGACAGAAGGCGAAATTGCACACTAAACAAAAGCATCCAGACACACAGACTATGTTTAAAAGCATCCAGCTACATTTGGCTCCTGGTTATTAAGACAGAACTTTGGAGTGTTATTTTGGCAGAAGACTTACCCAGCAGAGAAACCGCAAGGTCGTGGCCTTTGTAATGCAAAAGAGTCTTGATCTTAATGTTTTGTTGTCTGAATGTGCCTCTTGTGACTGTCCCAAACATAATGCAAAAAGTAACTTTTTGTATGCACAAGCAAAATTTTGTATAAGGTATGAAATTAGCATATTCAGTGGTGCTTGCCAAGGCAAACGCTTTTATTATTACTTAGATTTGGACTATAGTGCATAATTTGTCCTAATTTGTACCTCAAATTATTATTTTGCTATGACATTTCAAACTGGACATAAGATTTTTGCCTGGTAGAGGATAACATTGTCAGGAAAATCTCATAAAATCCAGCATAAGTGACCAAGA